CCCCCGCCGCCACCCGCGGCCACGCCCAGCCCGCGCCGCCCGCCGCGCGCGCCTGCACCACCTGCGGGACCGAGCGCTGTAGCCCCGGGGCGCGCCGGGCACTGCGCCAGCCGCGCTGCCGGGCCGTACCTGGTCCGTGTGCACGTGCAGCGAGATGTTGACGTGCGTGTGCGCCAGGGCGGCGTACTGTGCGAACCGCGCGGCGTGCAGAGCGGCGTCGGCCTCCAGACCCCCGGCACCCCGCGCCGCCCACGCCGCGCCCTCTGTCGCAGTAAGGCGGACGGTCAGGTCACAGTTTCATCAACACTTGAAATTGAATTAGTAAGTCGGTAAGGGCGAGGCACGGACCCGGCTCGCGCAGGTCCAGCCCCGTGTAGCAGCGCGGCGCGCACAGGCGCTCCGGCGCGAACAGCACGCGGCCCGCGGCGCTGCGCCCCGACCACTCGGCGCCGCCGCCCTCCGACACGAACCACACGGCCGGCTCGGGCTCCGGGCGCGACACGTTGACGAGCCGCATGCCCACCGACATGCTGTTCTCTAGGACGAGCGCCGCCGACGCCCACACGTAGGGCGCCGCGTACCCGAAGTGCAGCGGGTGCACCAGCAGGCGGCCGGCCAGCGCGCGCAGGGACAGGCGCGTCTCGTGCAGCGCGTGCTCGGTGCGCACGCGCAGGCGGCCGCGCAGCGCGGCGGGGCGGGCGGGCGCGTGCACGGTGAGGCGCGCGCGGGCGGCGTGCCGGGGCGCCACGCACGCGCCGTCCGCCAGCCACACGGACACGCCGGGCAGGTCGGCCTGCGCCTCCACTACGCACAGGGGGCGCGGGCCGGGGTTGCGGAGGCGCGCCCACACCACGGTGCGAGTGGACGTGCCCACGGCGCCCAGCCGCAGCTCCTCAGCGCTGCTGTGCTCGGCCGGCCACTCCCACTCCTGCGTTACACACTGCACATCAGGACTGTGGATGGGGGGCCGCTCGCCGAGAGGGGGCAGGAGCCTACCAGTAGAAGCTGGCCGGAGTACAGATGCAGCGGCAGCGTGTAGTGCGTGAGGTTGGTGCGCACGGTGACGTTGGCGTCCAGCAGCAGGCCGGGCTGCAGGCCGCGCAGCCGCAGCGAGCCCAGCCGGGCCTGCTCCCCCGCGCCCAGGACCATCGGCGTTGCGCTCTCGTGCTGGCGAGGCCGCGTGCGTTTGAAATCGTGTTTTAATAGTTAGATATTACATTTCGATTCATTCAATATATTCTATAAACTCACGTGGAAATGCTCCAGTACTTCCGGCGGGTAGTGCAGCCCGGTGATGTGGAGGGGCACCGGGAACTCGTTGTGAACGCGAATTTCACGTTCTTCCAAGGCTTTCTTTTCGTCCGCTGTAATAAAACTGACACAAGAATAATATAATTATATAGAACCGAATCAGACACTCTTGAACAAATTTAGCGGTGCGACAAAAAGATGTGAACGAAACTGTAATGTTAGTAACCGTTACACTACGTTACGTTTAAAATCGTATAAGTTTTTGAGTAAAATTTTACGATTGAAAGTAGTAATTCTTAGCAATGATAGACACAGTCGGTGCATCGTCACTAACAGCAAGCGGGGCGGGTGCAGTGCGAGCGTGCCCGCCAGCACGCGCACGGAGTAGCGGGCGCGCGCGCGGCCCACGCGCAGCCAGCCGCCGCACCACGCCTGCCGCGCCGCGCCCGCCGCCGCCGCCCACATCTCGCCGTCTGGAACACGCATTGCGGTTTATCGTCACAATAAGCACAGTGGTCCACTACTGCTGACTACCTTCGACCACTTCTGGTCGTTAAGTAACAAAACCAAAATAAAATACTTGTGTATTAGGTGTTTTTTTTTCGATTTTCAAGTTTTAAAATTAAATAACTTTACGAGGGTAGTAGGTTCGCTGCGAGACTGCCGCGCGCCGAGCTGCAGTCGGACATGTCGTGACTGTTGGCGGCACGATACAATCGTTAGGAAATTTAAATGTGACCGAGTGCGTTCCTTCATATCAACCGCGCAGCCCCCTACACTCACAGTCCAACGTCACGCGGCCCACGCGGCGCAGCGGCTGGTGCGGCTCCAGACGCGAAGTCTCCAGCGACAAATATACGCCGTCGGATCTTTTACCTGCAAAGTTTTAAATATCAGACAACGTTCAAGCTCAGCACCCACAAACAAAATCTTTCAAACAATTTTAATACTTTTGATGACGCGAGGGCGGGCGGGGCTCGCGGACGCGACGGCGTGGGTGTCGNTAGAACGAATTGAAAGAATTCAGCGTAAATTTATAAAGTACCTTTGTTTTAAATTAAATATTGCCTATAACTCTAATAATTATGATAACCTTTGTAAAAAACATCATCTACTTCCTCTTTACTTGCGGCGTGAGGTTTCCGACATTATATATTATTTAAAGATCGTTAAAGGTTTGGTGGATTGCCCGGAGCTCTTATCCAAAGTTGGCTTCAATGCACAGAGAATATCTTTAAGGCATCGAAATCTAATTTCTTTGCCACTAGCTTCCACTAACTATAGGCAAAACTCATTCTTTTTACGTGTTGGTGGTGACCTCAACAGACTTGGCAGGTTCTTAGATATTGACCCATTTTATTCCTCTATCACAGGACTTAGACGTCAGCTTAGTGCCCGATTTTTCGTGGGCGATGAGGGGGCAGAGGGTGCGGGGCCATGTGCCGGTGACGTGTAGCACAACAGTTTTTAATTAATTTGTGACATTTATACATAAGTGTACATTTAAATTAGTCTGGTGTTTTCCTCCATTCCTTATGTTGTTTCTTGCTTGCTGAATGTTTTTAATTTTTTTTTTGTTTCTATGCTTTTGTTTCTCTAGTGTTTTTAATTTGTTTATATTGGTGAGAACCTTTAATTGGCTTTTTGTTTCTATTATTTGTTATATTATTATACTTTGTTAGTTGGCTGTTGGTTCTCCTTGTATTAAATAAATAAATAAATAAATAAATAAAAGTAATATTTTATTTTATCATTATGACATATTTAGTTCCTATCACAATCTGTTCTTTTCTGCATATTACTTTTACAAAATAATGTCGATGTTTCACATCTGCCAGGCGTCCCGTGACGGCTCACATATTTTTTTTTTAATATGAATGATTTTAATTTCTTCCATTAATCGTAATGTCATCCCTCCCCTCTGCCGTTAGCTAATAATAGAGCTGCCTACGTTTTATCCACGGTTATAACTTGCCTACGACAAGCACCTACTCGTTTTCAAAAGAGCGGGATACTTTATCGCGAACAAGCGCTGGGCTGGTTAGTGAGCGTGCGCGCACCTGCACGGGGTGCGCCGTGGGGTTGTACAGCGTGAGGAGAGGCTCCACCGTCGCGTTGAGAGGGACGCGCACTCCGACCAACGGCCACACGCCCCACTCGCTGGCCACGCCCTCCGCCGACACCTGCACCACAAACACCATTGTACACGACCCAGCGATATCATGCATACACATCAAGAGGTCACTGGTTCGAAACTGGGCCCGTCCTGCTGAGACCAGTATTTCTGAAAGTATCGCAAAGTTATTGTCAACATTGTAAATACGAAACTGTTTGTTTGTCTGTAACGCTTTCACGTCCGGACCGTAAGCTAGGTACCGTCCACTCCACTGTCGAGGCCGGGTCCCCCGCACGGACGTAGCTGCACGGAATGCTACTTTAGCAATATGTATTTAAATAAATATGAAGTTGGAAAAAGATCCAAAAACAGCAGACACGGTCGTAGCTCCCAATGAAACAATAGCATTAATCTTAATATTCATTTCCTTGAAACATAATTTTCGGTAACGTACGGGGTACTTGAACACTCCGAGCGAGGTGTGTATGTAGAGGTGGGCGGAGGCCGGGCCCTCGTGCCGGCCCAGGTACACGACACTGAACGTCGTGTTGGCTTGTGGCGCCAGTGTCTGGAATCGAATGAAATATTTAAACGCATTAGTGTATTACATTAAACAACTTCTATGATTCTTCTAAATCTTGTCGCAAGATTTAGGGCAAGGGCAATAAATTTTCCTGCTTGATTCCCCTACGTATTCGCTGGTAGCCTAGGGTGCTATTCCAGATAAGCGCGGGTGTGTAGGTGACCTCACGGGCTCAACTTGAGAGAATGTGCCAATATTAGCCCTAGCAAAAGCAACGCTTCCCAGAATTTACTACCGGATCGGAACTGCGACTCACTGAGAACATCCGGCGAGAAACTCAGTGAGCCGTTTGCCCACAAAGGTGATTCTTAGAAAGGGTTATCATAATTAAATGCCTATGCAACGTTTAATATTACTAACTAACTAATATATTACTAAACATTGAGGTCGCCTTTTCGAAACTCAACCCTGAGCGCAGCGTCCATGTTATAGTAAAGTACTGTTGAGCGTTGAAAAGTTCCTCCGGAGCTAATCCTGACGACTGGCGAGGGTTTACTATAGCAATGGCTTCTTATTGCAACTGAACCAACATTAAAAAATTAATTCCGTAGAATTAAAAGTAGTGGTTCTAATATATTTTGCAAGATTCGACCCAAACAAATACATTTATTTTCGGTGCGTGGGGTCGGCTTGGCATATCACCTGCCTATCTCTCTCTCTTCGTGAGTGTCGTAAAAGGCGACAAGGTGTTCGAATGACCGGTAGCATTCTCTAAACACTAGCATGCCACGATCCCCAACCGATATTTACTGGTACGACTTATGGTGCCTGCGTGGCGGGTGGGCCACGACTCGTGAGTTCGTTTGCCGATCTGAGCAAGCCACAAGCGCTCGTGCGTTATTATTCATCGATCCATCCAGCATACATTCCGCACAACCGTATCCCTTGTATTGACTTTACTAAGGTACTTACTACAACATTTCACCGAGCATAAGTTAAAACCGATCAAAGACATATTAATAAATATAATGTTGTAAAAGTTGTTGTTAGGTTGTGTAGGGCGTATTAATTATTAATAGAAGAAGATTCCACACTACAGGGTTGGTTGGTTGGTCCACGTATCGCTAACGTCACCACTACGCCAGTGCAGTGGCCGCCAGGGTCATTGCAGTCGATACATTCGTTTTCTACTTTTAGCCCTACGTTTGCATCCTGATACTATACATTTAACGCATAGTGTTCAAAATAAACGAGTATCTTATTTCGACTCGACTCGGTTTAGTGGACTCGCACCGGCCGAGGTTGAAGGTAAATCAGAGCCGCGCCATTAAGGCACGGATACAAATACAAAGAGCTTTCAGTTGAAAAATAGGAAGCCGGCCGGTGTCGCAGCACGGCACACTTCCAGAAATAAAGAGTTGGGCAACGCGGCGCTGCATCGCACTTCCGGACCAGCGCGGCGCCGGCTCGCTGCCCATGGACTCACTCGCACGTGCTGTCTTGTGCATTCTATTCAATCTCATTTATATCTATCTTCTATCTACATATATAAAAATGAATTGCTGTTCGTTAGTCTCGCTAAAACTTGAGAACGGCTGGACCGTTTTGGCGAATTTTGGTCTTGAATTATTTGTGGGAGTCCAGAGAAGGTTTAAAAGGTAGATAAATATGAAAATGCTTGAAATTAAATAAAAATAACAATTTTCCGGACGGATTCCTTTTGTTTGTTTTAAGTTTATTTTATACAAAAGCTTAGGTCTTTTATTTATCGATTGAGGCACTACGAAGTCTGCCGGGTCTGTCGGGTTGTTATATTGTTAAATTCTTTATATTACCGTTTAATAAACAATGTATTCCACTATGATATTATGTAAATACGACGCAATTTTTAAATAGAATACAGAAAACAATAAACCGCGAAAGCGTTGAAACCACCATGTTGATAGGCAACAAAGTGTGGTTGGTAATTGTTATTTATGGAGCTAGCATGACACAAATATGTCGCACAATAAAAGTTTCGACTCTTATATCGTGTGGTAATGTCGAACCACAATTCTGTCTAATTTTTTTTTATTGCCCCACTACCAAGCCGCTGCAAATTACTTTGTCTCTCACAAAGTAACTTGCGGAGAGTGCAGAGGCTGCAGGCAGTAGACTTCGGCATCGCACGTTGCAATATATGTGTATGCAATGTGTGTCTATAATTAGAGTTACGTTAATCATGTGTTGCAGCGCAAATCGGACAATTTCATCGTCACCCACGCAGCCTCCCTCCTCCGCTCTCTCGCTCGCTCGCGGTTACACGTTAAAAATAACGTATTTCCGTATCGGTGCAGTAGCAGTATCTTGACCGCGTTCAAATTAAGACTCATCATCCAACAGAGTACCCCATAGCACTACACTTCAGTAATCCAGGAATTGTTTGTTGATGAAACTAATGTATATTGTATGTAGTAATGATTCAAGAACCACAATTAGAGTAAATCAATGTACCGAGTGTATTCGTAAAGTGAACCTTGGTTCTACGTAGAGACCCACGTAACTGCGGATATTGATAACGGTGGCAGTATGAGTAAAATTAAAAAGTAAACGCCTAGAGAAGACCATATGCAGATTTTGTAACTATCGTTATCCCGCTCCGTGAACGACCTTCCTTTAGTCGTACACACAAGCTGGTCATCTGTGACGAAAGAACTGCAGCCTCCACATTTGCAGCTTCAGCGCGTCATGAACGTTGAGATCGCAGCAGACATGCCGCGCTGCCTGGTCCTGCGGAAGGCACCCTCACTGCCACGCCACGCCGCTGCAGCTCACAGACTGCTGTGAGCACGACGCGATGATCATCGACACTCAGAGTAAACATCTTAGTCGTAGCTGCTCTGTTCTAGGTGCACTACTCACGCCACTGACGCAGCGCAGCGATCAAGCTGTTAAGACTCACTAAGACTCTGAGCCAGCACTGGCACTTCCTAGCACATTCCCCCAGCGCCAGATTGCTGACACGACTTCTGGTGTCGGAGGGAGTAATGGAGCAATAGCTTTCATAGAGCATTTTCTTCGGTTTTTGCGATTGGTGGACATAACTAAGCTTTCATATAATTTAAAACAGAAAATATTTAAATCAAACCAAGGTCGCGATAACAACATTTTTAGAATAAGTTTGTATATATACCTATATATGTTTATGTATATGTCACCTCTAATTTATCGGTATGCCATTCTGTTTCTGTTTAACTCCATCGGATTCTCCCTTTCATATATACAGTAAAACTCTTTGGGGTTAGTCGTAAATAGCACGTATTCTCTCCCAGCACAGATACTGACAGAGAAACAAACAGCTGCTAATAGATAAACAGTAGCGTAATGGAGTTACGTCATCGATACTGTGGGTAGCAAGGTCTCAGAAGACATCGTGCAGTCCGTGAAGCGACCACATTCACTTATTTGGACATTTTACTCTCCATTATTTAAATAATACATTATTCTTCGTAATAAATACATTGAACCAAAATCTCGTGTGTTACATTGAAATAAGCCGTATCCTAGCGTTCGAAGTTTACCGCTTAATTACGTTACAATGTATTATAAAGTCGCACGGTTCGGTACCATAATATTATTTCTGCGGAAACTAAAATGCGTTCCAGTTGAAGAGCGGGATACTCGGTATAGAAAACAATGAAGACTTCGGCCTCACGACTCAACACAAGTACCACCACGAACCAACCGGAAGGCCACCAGCTCAGTTATAAAAAAATCATTCAACTTTACAATAAAAATAAACTGTATGTAAATGAAATGTAATGCGCGGGTCAGTTACTCATGTGACGCAACTGTCACGTCTTCTACAAAATAAAAACAATTCATGAGCAATTGATTCGTTGTTTGCGATATTAAATGACACTCATTTAAAATTATTTTGATTGAGGTATGATCTTTTAAATTTATACCGTCCACCTGATATTAAATGGATGGTAAGTCTCATTTTTTATAGTACAATGGCTGCCCCACTCTTGAAACCGAAACGCTTTACTTTTTCACGGCAAAAAATAGGCAAGCTGGTGGTACCTACCCGGGTGGGCGCACAAGACGACCATCACCAGTCAGTGCCACCAAGAAGTAAATATATTAATACAGGTCGTACGAATTGAATGCACACACTGAGGATTTTTTTTTCTGTCAACAAGCACTGTCCCTGTGATATCGCTTTCATTAGCCTTCTTTGGCACATTATCAACAATCTGGTCTTCTAGGTCAATGTAACATTGTAAGTGATAACTTAAATAAATTAATAATTTTTAGTTAAAATGTTGGTTTTGTGTCAAGCTTTAGCTAAGTTATTTATCGTGTCAAGTGTGAATAGTTACTGCACATTATGTCCGATCTAAACGACGGTCAAGTTGATAGGACACAAATTAGTCCAAATCTAACTTGAATCCAGATGATGGAAAGAATAAAGCTTGGAGACGTTCAGGAGAGGAGTACGTTGAACATGACATCATTAAAAAGGGAGCATAGGCGAGAGTTATAGTGTGGGGGCGTGAAGCAGCTCTGCGTCATTAGAATCGGGACACTGATACGTAGCTGAGACTTGGGAAGAAATTGTAGATGCCATTGGTCCATTTGTTCAATAACGCTATGGGGTGATCAGCGCGCTTGGCCGACTTAAGTCTCATAGAGCAAGCATAGGATAGGCTTGGAAGACAAATTAAGAAAACAAATACTGTCCTCGCTAATTTTAAAGATATTAAAAACACATTTAGTACGGTAGTTATAAAACGGAATCTCTCAACATTCTTTATATAATTTGAATAGGGATCGAGACATCCGAAAGAGACTGGAACCACTTCATAGAGCTGGAGGGGCCTAACTAAATACCGATATAAGTACAAAAATGCTTATTTCCTGTAAAATTGTTCTTTTCTTAATTATTATTTTTTTCCCTTCAAATTCGGTTTCTTCGATGTCTGCAATTCCAACTTCACGAATAATAAGCTAAATTTACATTTAAATTTAATAATTTTATTACAATAATATGTTAGGTGGACCGTATGCCCATCTGCCTACATGAATAATAAAAGAATATTCATAAGTATATTCATATTTGTGATTCTCAATATTTGTTCACGGATGTATATTATATTCAACTTCCGCCAGTTTTATAAAAATATTTTGCGCACAATTGAAACTAAAGTCTCATGGTTCAAAGTAGTCAAATAAAGAAATTCACTCCGAACAAACGTATCGAACAATCGGAACGAGCACTCTCTACCTACTCACGATACTTCGTCGTGTAAGGGTCGCGCTGCGCGGATTTCAACAGATGTAACGTAAAGACTTCGGAGATAACAAGACCTAAACGTTAAAATGTATTAACATATGAATTGAGTAAGAGCTGATTTACAGCGAGGCCCACACACAACTGCCAACTTGGGCCACACACACATACACACATATCCGACAGCAAATCAACTGTCGTTCATGATTTCATATTTGAATTGAATAATTATTTATAAAATAGCACGCGTACTCATAGATTATATTAGATGTATTATTATGTAAGTTTCCTGCGCGTACTGAACCGGTTATAAATGCGTTATAATATTATTCTTACGATTTGATAAGCTGCGGTTGACTTATCTTTCGTAATACAATTAAAATTGTCATATAATAGAAATTAAATTAAAAGTCTGTTTCTAGAATCAATCGAGATAAGTGAGACCGCAGCGCAGTGGTCACATCCTGTCGATAGTGAGCACTGATAACCCTAGATCGTATGAAAATAGCATTCACATCTCACCGCGCTCTCACTTCAAGCAGTAAACACTACTCGTAGTTACAAATACGTTACATTACATATCAGTATGCACGGTGGCTCTCGGCAGACACTATTACTGATTTATTTAAATTATTATTGAGAGATTACTGATGGCCTGGAGGCCTTTCCAGTTTCACCAGGACAGGTGGGCGAGCCAGGGCTCAGCCAGGAGAGATCACTGAATGTATGAAAGATACCACGCGTGAGAACGTTGTACTGTGATAAATACCTTCCTGGAATGGCTATCCTTTTGTTTTTGATAAACACCACACCGGTCAACTACCAGATAGATTCATCAAGACCAAACATACACATGTGTTATATACATAAATTCTGATGTATTACATGAAACAATAAATTTATTTTGCAAAAAGCTTATGCCACGCGGGTCGATCCCACCCTCACTCTATCCTATTCCTATTGCGAGGCTACCGGACGATTAGTCAAATACGTTCGGATTTAAAGGATAGCCTGTTATTCCCATAGAGATTTGCATCGTGTGAAATTAGTCTTTTAAAGAATTGAATTATTTTATTTATGTATTGTTTGAAAACGTAAGTCATTATCCTCGACATAAAACGTCATAAAATAAATTTTTAATAATTTCAAAATTTGAAATGGCAATTCTCTAGCAATCTTAAAAGTAAAAAATATTGACAACATAATAAATTCAAAAGATAGTATTTTCGTCAGTATTGATTCCTCAGCGTGAGAAAGTCGTGCATTAATGAAACATCGGTGTGGAACAACCAACTCTAAACTATATTACACTTTTTTTTTGTTTCGTGGAAAATGTTTTGCCGATTACGATGACGTCATACTATTACGTTTTTAATTGCTGATCGCATCAGAGAGCCGATAAAACGTATCTACTAGATACATATAAATAACTTTATTGCAGGTTGCATAATATTTGACAACGGTCTTGTGTTAATTCAAGTCTTTATCTAAAAGACCAGTCTTATCGCTTCAACATACATGTATGTATTACGTGTGTATAATATATTGTCCTAACAATATATCTGGTGCCTCTAAGTAAAGCTGAGGGACAAGCGACTGCAGTCGGTCCGACGAGGGCTGCGAGGCTGGAGGGCAGTATTACCAACTTGTGGCTGGTTCTTCGGCCGTCGTGTCAGTGAGGAAGAATGATATGCCGAGAGTTTTATTAACAGAAGGAAGACGACAATGATTTATCATTATATTATCACTAAGGCAGAACCGAAACTGCCGACCCGCTTACCTAGATGGACTGGAAGAAGGCTCTCTTATATGACGTGAGAGATTTCTTCCATAATTTAAGAAGAAAAACTCATTCTGGTGCTATTTAGAGAGTGAATTTTTTGAGAATATTGTTGGTCATTGAATTGTAAACAATCAAAAAACCTAGGATATTTTTTTACTGCCCTTGTAGGCAGACGAGCACACGACCCACCTGATGGGAAGTGGTTACCGTCGCCCATGGACTTCAGCAATGCCAGGGGCAGAGCAAAGCCGCTGACGGCTGACATCACATTTGATGCATTCAGGCTAAATAGAGGTGCATACTTTAAAGTCATTTATAAAATAGCGACGCACGCAGCCCCCACCCGGCGCCCCGCTGCTGCTCAACTATTCTGGCGCTCCTGTTCTACTCGTACAGGTGAGACAGAGTTCACACAATACAATTGATACTTCGACCTCATATCCAATACCTTTAGTGGGTTTTTAAACTACTTTAAGTATTGAATAGTCGGTCACGGATTCGGTGGAAAATATTCGTCTGTGTTAGAAAACAATAAGAACAACTGTGTATGTTAAGAAAAAGAAAATGTTTAGTTACATAGTACAGTGGCTAGTGAACTTAAAGTAGCTACTCCTCTCTGTCTACCCGTCGGCACAGAAAAATTATTTACTTCACGGCAGCTATAACTGTAGCTGCTATAATGGAGGTAGTTATTTTATCAACTGTAAGAAATATAAGAAGCGCAATAGAAATCGGCTGAATGTCGTAACATTACTCATCAAAAAAAGGTGAGATCATTTGCGGATTTGAATAACCCCGCTTAATATTAGGTGGAAAATGAAACAAGTACCCAAACTCGCAAGACTCACGACTCGTTCGTAAGCATAACATTAAATATGTTGAAGCCTACCTTTGACTCAAAGAATGAGGCATGGAAGTCAGGTGTGGTGCCGGCCACGGAGGCGAGGTGTATGGTGGTGTTGGCGAGGTTGGTAAGGGTGACGCGGCGCGCGTGCGGCTCGGCCAGCGCGGCGCGCCCGAACTCCAAACTCGGCGGCTGCAGCCATATCCCCTCGGCACCGCGCTTACTGTCGCCTGCCTCGCTCCCCCATTCCTACATACAAAATAAAAACTCGTAGCTCGGATGCGGAGATCGTTTTCCATAATGCATAATCGTTGTTACAAGAGAATTGAAGCTGTAAGCTCACTCACACTGTGCAATAAAAAAATACTCTGATTTTCAGACAGTTCAATTCCTCTCATCTAATTTTTACAGTTCATCCTTATTGCTTAGTCTGTTTGTAATCATCAAGTGTTTTTACACAATTTTGTTTTGCAACACGCCATCCTGTAATGCAGTCTACTCAGCATGCCTCAAGAGCCATCTCTTGACTTTCTTTGTACTGGGCTTCAAAAAAGTATTTTCATGTAGACAGACACTTAACATTGCCCCTGGCATTGGTAATATCTATGAACAACAGTATCCACTTATCATTCGGAGGAATGTAGCCTGTCTTCAATGGATTTAAAGAGCAACATAGTTGGAACAATAAAAAGCTCAAATAACACTAACTCCTATTACAGAATGGTTTTTTTTTTACAAAGTTTCACATGAATGGAACATATTGTGAAATAATTTAATATTACTAAATTTTGTAAATGTAGAGATATTGACAAATTGTTATATCAGACACTACACAACATTGTAATTGACTTGCATTGTTGCACTTGTGTTCGGTGTGGTCAGAAAAGTATCAGACAATACAAGAAATTAATTTTTTCCTTGTATACCTATTCTTCTTGTCTTACAAAACCTCACGACCCAGCTGGTGTTAAGTGGTTACCAGAGCCCATAGACATCAATAAAGTAAATGCCACCACCCATCTTGAGACACGAATTCTCAGGCCTCTGTTTTTACACTACAACAAGGGTAACACCCTTCTAATATGTAACTGCTTCACAGCAGTAATAGGCAATGTTGTGATGCGTACCCATGCAGACTCACAAGTTGCTTACCATTAGTAATTATGTAAACTATAATTTTTGTGTATTTCATTTTTACTACACAATGTTATTCATTCAGTATGGAAGGCAATCAGGAACATTTGCTAAGTATGTATTTCATTACAAAAATTGGTACCTGTCGGGACATTTTGGATACTGGCACAGTTGCATCACTTGATATCAGGGTCGTTTTCAATTTTGCAGACAAAAAAGTAACAATTGAGTCGTCTATTATCAAAGGCGGCAATCTGTACATTTGGACAAATTTTTTTTATTGATATGTCAATACAGATTTATTTGAATATAATCGTCTCCTTCAAAGAATACGGTTCAAAACCTGCATTAAATAAAGGTTAATAGTTAACCTGTTATTTGTCTAAGATGTCGTTCCGAAGAGTTTTGTGACTGCCAATGGAATACAAAGTCAATAATTCGTTTTTCTGATTTACCAATCATTTTCCAAAAGTCAGATTGCCACCTTTGATAATAGTCGACTCAATTTCATTAATTTAAACTTTCTCTAATTTTCCATTTTTTTGTGTTTAGGTGTGTTCATCATTAAGGTTTTGAGAATCAAATCAAATAACTCGCTTTTGGCCCCAAATTTTAAAACAACCCATAAATGCACCGGGGGTCAAATTCTTTATGCCACGTTGACTTACTTTCTGTTTGTCTTACATGTTTATTCTTTCAAGCTTTAAAGCAAGCTTCTTTCAAGCTTAAAAGAGATCCTTAAGGTTGTCAGACATATACCCAAGACATTCAATTGTTTCAGTGTATTTTACTTGTATTTTGCATCTACATGCAATGTTCATTAGTCACATAGGTGTGTACTAAAAGTGTCTTTTGTAAAGACCATGGCCAATACTACTATGTAGGTTATGAAACTAAAACCATAGAATATCAAAATATAAAGTTAGAACCAAGGAAAAGGAGATCACAGTGTTTATAGGTTTACTTTGATTACTAGGATTCTACTTTAAATAAGACATCAATAACACATGAAAGAGCTGTACATCATAACAGTTTCTTTTTTTTTAAATAAAATAAAGCCACAACCATCCAGTTTTTGAAAAACCATTTATTGTGACCTAAACTGATCTGATTTTTTTTATTAAAAAAATTGCTTTGTTTAGTCAATTGTGTGTTTAACATTGTTATTATTATTATTATACATATTGTTATTATAAAAAAATACATACACCCTAAAATAATATCAATAAACATTTCACTTTGTTCAATGTTGTAAAAATATGACATTTATATTGTATTAGTATGAAAATGTGCATTTAGAAGAAATATCTTTAATAATGTGTCCCTTGACAATGTCAAATATGGTTACTATTATGTTATTCCGTTATTACATGTAAAATAGAACAATTACCTGAAAACTGATCCCTTCTATCAGAGAATCATGTAGTGTGACACCTGAAATTAAGAATTTTTTGAGCAATCTATTTTAATTACTTATTTACATGGTTAGTTCAATTTTGTTTAAGAGAAAACTAAATCACATTAATTCTATAGTCAGAGCTAAAAAATATTAAATAGGTACATAATTGAGCACATGTGAATTTTCTCGAGGGGTGGTGAGAGCGCGGGGGTAATAGACTAGCTGCAACCACCTGCATTGCAACGCACGATTTACGCGCGCTCCGCGTACGCTGAGCAGATTTCAAAGTGGTCGATAAAAATACTATCTAGAAAGTGAAAGAAAAATAACAAATAAATCCGCCTCGGCCCCAGTCCAAAATAACATCACGGCGCGCACTACCGCCTCAATAGTTACATGCCAATAGGTTGATCCTATTCGATATTCAGACTACCACCTCCTTCGAGACTAATTTGGCGCTTTAAAAGAATTAGTTAACTACAGATTTTAGTTACTTTAAATGAACGTATGGTATTTTAAAATCGAATTTACCATGACTCTTTCCTTGGGCCGACAGTCTGGTCTTTAACGAAATATCCAATAAGGTCAACACAAATACGTAACACCACACAATTTTACGATACATTTTAAACGAAATATTCGTAACGTGACACTGTTTATTCACATTTCTGCACTTCTCGTTGTTTTTTCAACAACAACTCACAAGACATGCATTCGAGAAATAACGTAATGCTAATGAGCACAGATATTAGGTGTAGAACTGAAGGTGTATAATCTATGGCACAGACTAAAAACAGAATGATAGGGACTTTTTGGCGGGAACGCGAGGAGTGAAGTTGTGTGATTTATTTTATTTTGTCTATTTAGTGTTTCTTCGGGCTTAAATGTGTAATAATGGTGGTTTATTAACTGTGTAATATCTATGAAAGTGCACAAATGTGGGAAAATGAAACAAAGCCGCTGGACGTAACTTCTCGGGATCCTCCAAAAAGTCCACTAAGAAAATCTTAGTAAATGACCACCATTTTACTGAGATTATATTTCATCCCATATCATCTCATTTCATTTCATTTAATTTCATCCCAGTTGATTAATGTCTCAAATTAATCATCTTCATTTCATTTCACTCCAAAATATCATTTTTCATAAAAATAAGAATACAAATTAAAATAAGACATGACTTAAAAGTCTCAATTACCAGGTCATAAAATCCCTTAAAAAAAAACAGAATGATAGGGACTTTTTGGCGGGAACGCGAGGAGTGAAGTTGTGTGATTTATTTTATTTTGTCTATTTAGTGTTTCTTCGGGCTTAAATGTGTAATAATGGTGGTTTATTAACTGTGTAATATCTATGAAAGTGCACAAATATGGGAAAATGAAACAAAGCCGCTGGACGTAACTTCTCGGGATCCTCCAAAAAGTCCACTGAAAAAATCTTAGTAAATGACCACCATTTTACTGAGATTATATTAAATTTCATCCCATATCATCTCATTTCATTTCATTTAATTTCATCCCAGTTGATTAATGTCTCAAATTAATCATCTTCATTTCATTTCACTCCATAATATCATTTTTCATAAAAATAAGAATACAAATTAAAATAAGACATGACTTAAAAGTCTCAATTACCAGGTCATAAAATCCCTTAAAAAAAAAACAGAATGATAGGGACTTTTTGGCAGGTACGCGAGAAGTGAAGTTGTGTGATTTGTTTTATTTTGTCGATTTAGTGTTTCTTCAGGTTTAAATGTGTAATAACGGTGGTTTATTAACTGTTTAATATCTGTAAAAGTGCACAAATGTGGGAAAATGAAACAAAGTCCACTGAAAAAATCTCAGTAAATGAGCATCATTTTGCTGAGATTATACTAAACTTCATCCCATATCATTTCATCTCATGTCATTTCATTTCGTTTTCATTTCACTTCATGCTGTTTCATAATAATCAACTTCATTTCATTTCATATCATTTTCATATAAAAAAGTTACGTATCATTAAAATTAAAATAAGACTTGACCTAAAGGTCTCAGTTACCAGGTCATAAAATCACTTAAAAAAAACAGAATGATAGGGACTTTTTGGCGGGAATACGAGGAGTGAAGTTGTGTTGTGAAAGTGCACAAACGTAGGAAAATGAATCAAAGCCGTTGGACGTAACTTCTCGGGATCCTCCAAAAAGTCCACTGAAAAATCTCAGTAAATGACCACCCTTTTATTATGATTATATTTCATCACATATCATTTCATCTCATCTTATTTAATTTCATGCCAGTTGATTAATGTCTCAAATTAATCGTTTCATTTCATTTCACTCCATATTAACATTTTTCATAAAAATAAGAATATGTAGTAATAAACTTATATACCTACTTACTAGCTTATAGTTGTTATAATGAGTCATTTAATTATGATTTTTTGAACTGCGTAATGAATTTAGGAATTATTAGTTTTATTATAAAATACAATTATCATAACTGTCTCCTATTGCATGGTAATGAATAGTATCACTTTAACACGAAAGTTGTACTCCTAAAATATCCTTAGAATAATTAGAAATCACTGAAATTTCTATATGCTTGTTAATATTCAATACCATTAAAAATAACTGAATTTATTAAAACTGCGCTTAATCGTAGCTACTTTAACGATTAATTGGCCGTCTTCACTGACATTTTTTTGTTGAAGTATTGTTGAAGTTTGTTCATTTTTAATATTTTTTGATCTACATAAGAAATAATTAGACAGTATAAACGTAAGTTTTGGTTTGAAATACCAACTTTGATTTTTGTGGGTTTTGAGTTTTGAAATAGATTTGCTTTAGGGATTTTGTTTCTGAACAGTTGGTAGCGCTGTAGCACCCCTTAATCCACTCTACATAATAGATATGTACCGTAAAATGGGGTGATTAGGGATTGAGAGGTGAATGGGGAAAAAACTAGGAAAATCTTTCGACGCTCAATATTAGTTATTTAATCGTTGCAAAATCTTCTACTTTTTGTGAATAGTAGAACGTTAAAAAACATAAAACAACTGAATATGCATGATAATAGCTGCTAACTTATAAAAAATTAACTTCTTGTGGTGGTAATTATTTTAGTGCTAGAAACTTTGCTCTCTTTTATTTATTTGATAATAATAGAAGACGACTGTGATTTATAAACGTTATTTAGTGTTTGAACCATCATAAATATCAAAAGTAAGACTCAGTTGTTATTGGTTTTAATGTATTTGATAAAATAAAAATAAACAACAAAAAGGGGTCAATTGGGATGAGAATAAGCGAAATGGAAACGACCTAAGTATAAATAGGTACAGGTATGTAGGGTTGATAAGTAGTTATAAAAATATTTTTTAAATTTGTTGGTAAGAATCTGGTTTATTCATGATGTTTTTGTCTAGAACTTTTTTTCAAAATTATCAATGCAGTGTTGTTTTATTGTTTGGCAAATATTTATATTATCAGTAATATGAGTCGACTATTATCAAAGGCGGCAATCTGACTTTTGGACAATGATTGGTAAATCAGAAAAACTAATTATTGACTTTGTATTCCATCGGCAGTCACAAAACTCTTCGGAACGACATCTTAGATAAATAACAGGTTAACTATTAACCTTTATTTAATGCAGGTTTTGAACCGTATTCTTTGAAGGAGACGATTATATTCAAATAAATCTGTATTGACATATCAATAAAATTTTGTTGTCCAAATGCACAGATTGCCGCCTTTGATAATAGACGACTCATATGTTGTTCTCTATTTTTAGATATGCCTCACATGTACGTATCAAAGAGTGCAAATCCTTATAAGAGATATGATCCCTTAACATTAAAAACAGTAATAGAAGCCTATGAAATTAGGAATAAGTATTTAGTAGAAATAGCTAAGCAATTTAACATAAGTAAGTTGGTTTTGCACAGACATGTAACAAGAACAATGAAATCTCAAGGTGGACAAAAATGTCTAAGTAATACATAATAAATATATATTAATATTTGTTCAGAGTGGGGGTATCCACCTGATTAATCCATGGAATAACGGACACACTTTGCCACGTACCATCCGGCTTTGGAATGAACTCCCCTCCACGGTGTTTTCCGAGCGCTATGACATGTCCTTCTTCAAACGAGGCTTGCGGAGAGTTCTTTATGGTAGGCAGCGGCTTGGCTCTGCCCCTGGCATTGCTGACGTCCATGAGCGACGGTGACCACTTACCATCAGGTGGGCCGTATGCTCGTCTGCCTACAAAGGCAATAAAAAANTTGATTTTAACCTTTTCGATAATTTTCAACAACGCCCAAGCTACTAAAAAATCCACTAACCACTAAAAGCCATTTTTGATAACTAAGACGGGGGTCCAAATTCCGAGATTTTATGGAAAATCCCCTAAGCTAGCAACACTGCTTTTTGTTTGTAAAATGTGCGAGAGGGACACCACCACTTAATAATCATTCTCTTTTCAGACCGTTTTTCCTTACATCTTTTGCTATTTAAAAATAAACTTTAAGCCATAGAGATAAAGTATATTTTTAGTTTTTATGTCAAACGAAGTAAGCACTCCAGTTAGAATAGTAACTCTATGGATTGTGGTTTAAGCATAGATTACTTATACATAATATCATAGATAATACACTAAATTTAAAAAGATTGTTTGTTATTGACGTTTAATAAAATCTCTAAAAAAGATCTTGTTTAAATACAATGATCCAAGTACTTATTAAACATTATTAAAGAATGTGTCATAAAAGGAACTATATCCAATAAATACGCATCCGATTTAATTTATAGGTAGTTTTGTGGAATGTACTTGTTATTCACGTCTTTGATTTATGCGAGAGTCCATCGAGGGTTCGGAAATTAATTCAAAATTTCATTGATAACAGAGTTATCAACAATGGATCTAGATGAGAACTGTAAGTAGAGTTACATGTCATTCTCTATTTGTTATTAATTAGTAGTTAAATTTTTTTGGCTATTTATTTATTTATTTTGCGTAGTTGACAACGAGAGACGAAATAGGACAATGTTGATGTATGAAATACTTACTCGTGTGTTTTATTTTTCTTACAGCACTTGATAGCGAATCGCTGCAAAGAGTCTCTGCTAGTGAAGAAGTGGATGACGAGCAGACAACCTCAGAAGATGAGCAAGACTTTGACATCTCTTTAGCTGCCTCGCATTCCGTAAGCCTGCCCTACTATCTTAATATGAATAACATCTAATATTCACCATTAACATTTACACATGCAGTGCTTTTAGTGTAGAAACCTTTAAAAAGATTTCTCTTTGGTGACAAAGTCAGTTAGTAAACTGAGTCCGGTTTATTTATCTTAAAGTAAAAAATTAGTGAAACTTCAGCTTGTCAAATTTTCAATGCCCTGACTTAGAAATATATTTGTCTTTTTAAATGAATTAATCCACAAATTATATAAGAGGTTTATCATAATGCTATTGTTGTTTATTGTTATTTTTTTTACTATTTTATTGTAATTTAAAGTCGTTGTGGCCTAAAGAATAAGACGTCTGATGGATTTGTATTTAACTATGCGATGGTGCTCAAATCCAAATCCAAACCAATCCAAATCCAATGTTGGAGCTCATTCCAAAGCTGCATGGTACGTGGCAAAAGGATCTCTAGAAACGCACTGTGGACGAATGCTGTGGTTCCAGGTAGTATGGGTGAACTCCCGTGGGGGGCAGTGCGAAACAATTCCTCAGAGCTTTCTATACCCCTATCCTTTGAAAACCAGAGATCCAGCAGTTTTATTCCCTCATGCATCACAATGTACCTATTAGCGATGATTGACACCTGAGATATGGATGTTGGTTTTGCACAGTATTTATAGGACTGCATTGATTTTTCTGTCAGACAGAATACAGTCTGACAGAAAGCTGTAGCTGTAGCTGTAGCTGTATTATAGGGTAGAAGAAAATATATATGATAAATACTTGAATGACACTAACAACCTTTTTATGACAAATTTGCATACAGGAAAATGTCCTGAGGACATCTCATGAACATTATAAAAATATTCCTATCAACTTCTACTTTTTCATTGAATCTTACTTAAGTAGCCGAAGACCGCCACCCGAAGACAAACTTGCCCTGCAGTAACCTTAAACAACATAGAGATCCTGCAATTTGAAAATTCAAAGTACTTGAGGATGTACGTGGACTGACTCAGAGAAAACATATATTAACCAAACATCTCTTAATAGAAAGTCTGTTGAAAATGTTGATTTTAAATCAATTTTGTTGTTGAAATTATTATTAAACCCATTTGAGCTTATGGCATCCAATTGTATGCAAAAAGTTTGCACACAAGTTCCAAACAATAACATTTGGGTTGTCAGTCAATCACCTGCTTTCCTTTGTCTATTTTGCCACAGTACTGATTTTACAACCTTTTTACTTATTTAGTTGTAATTGTTGCAGCCGCTTCTAGGATCCCATCTAAACACATTTTTTTAAGAAGAGTCTGTATAATATAATTTCAACATACATGAATGGCCTTTTGTTCCCTCTCAACAGTTACGATGTACTTTTGGCTTAATGAGTTATCATATATACACTGCATCTGTATACATCCAAAAGTAACTGAGTTAGCTTGGTCCTTTGAAGCATACATACATAAGTATTTAAAAACAGAAATATGAATAATGAACATGTTTTAAGTTTAACATAATTTCCACATCTTTGGTTAGTTTCCCTTATTTATATGTAATGTGCAGTTGGCAGGAAGTCATGAACTGTGGTGAGGTTAAGCAACAGCGCAGAGTACTAAAGTTCTAATAAAACTGTAAATTATGGCATTCCTGGGGTAATGATAAGTATTGAAACAATATATTAAATTTTTACTGGTAACTAACTTAGAAACAGGACAGTTCTAACGTGCACAAAGGCTTAATTTTACGTAGACCGCACTTTATTAGCACGATATAGAAAAAACATTGTTAGCATTGTAGTAATTTAACAATTCTATACAGAATAATGGACAATCTTATACATAATTGTATATACCACAAAAACTATGTGAAAAACATTACACTTAAGTAAGAATCCAAAAAAAAAGAAAAAAGAAAGTAGCCCAAGCTAACAAGTGAACTGTGACCCAGTACATGGGCGGAGGGCTCAGCTCGGTGCGAGGGCGCGTGGTCCTGGAGGCGGGCTGGGAGGGCCGCGTGCCGGTGGTGGCGCACCACGGCGCCGTGTTCCCGGGAGAGACCGTGCCCATGCTCGTGTCCAACGCGCACGACGCCGCCATCGTACAGAAAATCAAGGACGACAAACTCTTCGGCTTGCTGTGCCCCGAGTAAGTCTTGTTCTTAATACATAGATAAAGATTAAAATTAAACAAAAATCAATATTTTACAACAAGTTATACTACACGGGTAGGAAGGTACCTTCATGCTGACTAATTCTGCCACGAAGAAGTAAGTAGTAATGCGACTTAAAGGCTGCCACAGCCGATACACAATACATTCCGACTGGCCGTCTCAAGGCACCCGCGGAGGAGAGGCGGCGGCACCCGCGTCGTGATATCTATCGCTTTCCTAACCATATAGCACTGCACGGAACGTGAGCTAGGTCACAAAAAGTACATCCCAATAAGTATAAAATCGTCTAACTAAACTGTTACTGTACTTGTTTAAGACGAACAGTTGCACATCTCATTTATTTCGAACAGATTAAATCTAAAATTTCCGACGTTTCAGATCACAAAACCCGTCCATTTATGTCTTATGATGATTCATTTATATTTATTAAAAAGTTATGGTATCCAAAACCTAAAACAGCAGTAATATAATAGATGTGTTCAGATGTATACTTACTGGTAGTAAATTTTAGCAAGTTTATATTTGGTTTTCACAAAGATTGTAATAGGTGATGACCTATGATGTTGTCGTTATAAAGTAGGTACTGTCCACTTGAGACGTAATATGGAACGAAATAATATGGAATTCTTTATTCAAGTTCTTCTTCTTCTTCCAGTGCCTCTTCAATCCTGAAGGTTGGCCGTTAGCTTCCTGTTCAAGTTCAGTCATTTGTTTATTGATTGTGTTTTTTTTAACTATATTTGTATAATTTTTTTTTTCATCAATCACTTTCGTTGCATCAATATGGACAGTATAAAAATCGAGTATTTTACGGAATACGAGTTCCATTGTGATAGCAATGCCGCACCAACTTCTCACGTCATTAATGACGTGTACGGAGTGACCACTACACACGAACGCACGACACGTTGTAGGTTCGAAAGCTTCCGACACGGTTGAATTAAACATGGAACAACGTGGTCACTTGAAAACTAAAGTCAATGACTACGAACTACATGCGATATGGGAAGCTGACGATACTAATGTTACTCTACCGATGAGCTAGCCGCACCTTTCAACAATAGTATCAAAACGTCATAATTATCATCAAAGCCATTTGCGTCAAATTGGTAAGGAAAAAAAATGATACGTGTACTGAACGCTCGCCAGCACGACGAACGCGTTAAGGTGTGCCTCGGGTTGCAAACTGTGCAGACACAGAAATGAAGGGACATAAACAGCATTACATTTGCGATAAAAAAAAATGGATTCTTTTTGATACTTTTTGTAGTCAAGGTGTCGGTGAGACTGTGGCTCAGAACCCAGGCAATGCCTCAAAAAACAATTTTGCCCCTAAAAAAGTCATGATCACTCTGATGGTTTAGTGCCGGTGTCATTCAGCACAGCTTCTCACCAAATAACACCAGCATTACTTCGAGTGTGTACAGTAAAGAACTGGACACAATGATCGAAAAGCTCGCAAATCTCTGGACGCTCATGTTTAATCGCTTGTTCCGGCTACTTCCACACGGCAACGTTCACCCTCATACGATACAGCAGCCGGTCTATAAACTAGGGCTAGGGTTGGAAGTTTTACTTTACATCATCCACCGTATTTACCAGACTTGGCGTCGACAGCTTCTACTATTTCGTGTAAGTGTGAACAACTTCTTGGCAGGGTAAAGAATCAATAATCGAGAGCGCAGTACAAAATGACTGAATAGTTTGATGGCTCGCGTACATTAGAGTACTTCAAGAAGGGCATTGAAGCGTTGCAAGCATCGATACCGTGGGTGATAGAAATAAAAATTATTTCTTAAAAAACTTTAGTTTTCTGTATACTAAACGCCAGTTTCGTAGTCAAAAACCTATGTTTGATTGCATTATAATACGTCCGCGCGGGTGCCGGCGGCGTGTGTGCGCAGCGGCGACAACGGCGCGGCGGTGTCGGGGTACGGCGCGCTGTGCGAGGTGTACGAGGCGGCGCTGGGCGGGGCCGCCGAGCCCGCCGCGCTCAGCTTCAAGGCGCGCGCCACGCACCGCTTCCGCTTCTGCCACATGCCCAAGTCCTCCGTGCCCATACACCTCTACGCCAGGTAGGTACAGGACGAGCCACCGACCTGACCCAGGTGGTACACTCCAGTTTAAACAACAAATACTCAGGGTGTAAAACCATAAATTAAATGTAATATTTACCTACACATTCGAATTCAACAGTATATTCTCTGTGTTAGTATGGTAGATAGAGTTAAACAGTAAACATTGTGTTGCAAAATGTTTTGAGTGTTACTTGGAATCGGTTGACAGCTTTACATAGTGTTTTGTACCGCATGCAGATAAGGTACATAGACGTTGCCAAAACATTTTGTTACTATTACTATTACCACCACTGCTACTACTAGTAGTCGTTCATGTCCACTAGAAGCAATCTCGCCCTGTTTTACTAACTTACATTTTCCCTGCGAATATGTTAAGGAACAATAAGAGCGATTAACAAACAGCACATTACGAGGGGACGTAACCGAGTCCGTTGTCGCAGACTGCGGCTGGCGGACGTGCGCGTGCTGCCCGACGTGTGCGGCCCCCCGCCGCTGCGCGCCCCCGGCCTGGACTCGCTCAGGTGCGTGCCCCCCTACTGTACTGTCGCGCCCCTGTGCCCCCACTGTACTGTCGCGCCCCCGTGCCCTCCACTATACTGTCGCGCCCCCACTATACTGTCGCGCCCCCACTGTACTGTCGCGCCCCCGTGCCCCCACTGTACGTGTCGCTCCGCAGGTCGCGGCGGGGGCTGCGCTACGTGGACGCGGCGCTCACGGCGTGGCCCGCGTTCGTCTACGACATGTTCGACTACGAGCGCATGCGGAACATCATCAAGGCGTACTTCGACACGCTGATGCTGGGTGAGGCCGCCGCCCCGAGAGCGCAGGGTGAGCGTGGACAGCGCCGACACTGACCGCCGCGGCGTGCCCACAGACGCGC